GCGCCAACCGCTGCCAGTAGACGATCGATAAATCGTGCACCTGTGTATTGCCCGTGGTAGAAACACGAATATTTAAATGCTTGCACGCTCGGACTCGGCCCGCCGCGCAGATTTAAAGCGCCGGAAACGAGTTCAAACGACGCTTGCGCAAGAATGGCCAGTGATCTGTACGGTGTGTAGCTTGCTAAGTGCCAGTAAATTAGAAAAATTTTAGTAGAATTCATACGATGACACAAAGTTTTTCATAACAATGGCCTTGGTGCCCTTCTCAAATTCTGAGAATTGCCTGATGCCTTTTAAAATTGCCTCGTGCCCATCCATTTTAGAGAAATTCAGGGCAATTTCTCACATGCCCCCAAAAAATTGCCTTGCCCTTCTCATCGCTTAATTCGAGGCCTGGGTACATAATATTAATAGGGAAGGAGTGTGACTTCAATAAACAAGGGAATTTGTCATTTACTAGCCTTAGAATACTAAGATTTACTACGCGTAACTCAACCAATTGAGCTCAAATCTTACACACTACATGCCAGCTACATTCGCCTACGCATCGTGCAAAAAACGTTTCTTCGTATACACCCGCAATCCGGAGATACAGACTAAAACGAATGACACAATTTTCCATTATGTTGCCAGCAAACTGAATGTGTGAAACCGCCTAACTCGAAAAAAGGCGAGCTGTAAATAGGTAAAGATTAGCCTCAGCGAGCCAACACCGCATCGCCGAGGGCGCATGAGTCGTTAGTAGCTGCTTTTGTTTCGAGTAAGGGATTTACACCATGCAGTTTTGCTTGGGAACAAATGGAGAAATCGTGTTGTACTTTTAGTGTATCTCCGGATTGCCGGGTGTGTGTCATACGAGGAAACGTATTCGCACGATGTTAGGCGAATGTTCCTGTGCACGATTTGAGCTCAAGTTGGTTGAGTTACGCGTAGTAAATCGTTAGTATTCTAAGGCTAGTCAATGACGAATTTCCCTTGTTTATTGAAGTCACACTCCTTCCCTATTATCTACTTCTGATAACATGCGTCTAAACATAGGAATTGCTCCGACCTGTGATTGGAGGATAAAAATAGAATTTGTGACGTTTCGCTTCACCGGTCATAGCCGCGCGTGTACTATTACTGTATTAGCTTATGAGCGATACCACACGTGCATATTTGCTAATTAATTAGACTAATCGACGTAAATCGTGCTTCAATAGACTTAAAATTCACCGCGATTAAGGCTAAGACGTGTCTATAATAGCTCTAGAATTTATAGAAATGTAACTCAAATCGTTCACGCCATATGATAGTTAGTACACGTTCCTACCGGCCATAGCCGCGCGTATATTAGCCTATGAGCGATACCGCGTGTGCGTATTTGCTAATTAATTAGACTAATCACACTTCAATAGACTGAAAATTATCAGAGATTAAGGCTAAGACGTGTCTATAATAGCTAGAATTTATAGAATTGTAACTCAAATCGTTCGCGCCATATGATAGTTAGTACACTTTTCTACCAGTCATAGCATAATATTTTTTAGCATATGCGGCAGGGTATGCGAAATGAAAACGAAACGTCACGAATTCTATTTTTATCCTCCAATCACAGTCGCAGCAATTCTCTGTTTAGACGCCATGTCTTACATAGTCACATCATAGTGTATCTGACACGATCACGAAACCCGTTGTCCACACTGGTTTACGCGCTGTCATTTGTTTTAACCCACCGTCCTACAACTCACCGTAACACTGTTAATATGCTAGTAGTAGTACTAGTAGTATATTTGCTAGACTACGGTGGCCCATATGAACAAAACACAAGCACGCATGTACGCAAACACAAGTACGCAAGCAAACAGCAAGTTGGCAAGCGGAATTGTTGTGGTGGGGGGGGGTGCAACATGAAATCTTGATTGTGGGGGGAGGTGGTGGAGGGCACTAGTGCTGCCACCTATTTCCATTTAGGAAACTTGTATTTGCTTCGATAATTAGTTGCTTTGCCAACTTGTTTACTTGCGTACTTGCGAACATGCACGTTGAGTTCAAATGAAGTTGCAGTTGGCGTTCGTAAATGTGTTTGTCTTGAAACTTATTTGCTTCGTCTCAAACTTTATATGTTTGCCAACCGCGTACTTGTGTTTTGTTCATATGGGCCACCGTACTAGACATCTATTTTGATGTCCTGTTCGATATAAACAAACAGTTCATTTGAAACACTCGCAACTTTTATGTAGCTCATATAGGCGAGAAATTTCTGGTACGCATATATTAATAGCAGTTTTTATCGCCTAAAACGAGTGTGTTATTAGCTAGTTCAATGGTAAATTTTCAGAATGTACATAGTTCTACGAGCCGTAACCTTTTACGCGAAAAATATGAATGTGTAATTTTTCATAAAAATTCACGTCACGGAAAAAATCTGACGCTGTCGTTTCACGCCGTGCCCACAGGGTGGCGCCGTCGATGCGCCCGTCGTCGACACGGCCGAACAAGTGTACATCTCGTCGCTCGCGCTGCTCAAGATGCTTAAGCACGGCCGCGCCGGCGTGCCGATGGAGGTGATGGGACTGATGCTGGGAGAGTTTGTCGACGACTACACGGTGCGTCACCGCGGGTCGTTAACGTTAATTAATTGATTGATTAGGTACAATGTAACCCAACTCAGTAGTGGTACAATGTAACCCAACTGAGTAGTGGTACAATGTAACCCAACTCAGTAGTGGTACGGTTTTATTGGGACCCATGTTCTCTATCCTTGAACCCTCCCTAACCCTAACACTAACCCTAATCCTAACCCTAACCATATCAAATAGTGACCAGGGTACGTTCCGGTATACCCAGGGTACGTTCCGGTATACCCAGGGTACGTTCCGGCAGTACCCTGTGGGACATAGACCCTATGACTATGAGTATGAGCCTCACTTTCAGATATGTCATATGATCCGCACAGCCTAAAACAACAGACTGAAACAGTGGCAGTGCATTGCCGGACCTCCGCGCAACGGGTTGAAGCACCATAACACAAACAACTCAATCTTTTATATAACTTACAGCGGTGACTCTCGTCTGGAACAATGAATCGGCGACTTATCTCCACAAATCGAACAATGAATGGACGATGAATCGGCGGTTAGTCTGCAAGTTCAACTGGAACGGGATGCAGAGAGATAAGACAGCGGCAGTGCACTTGACTTGGGACGTCTCCCTCCGCTACTGTATTATACAGATGTGACCTGAACGGATGAGGGATGGGTGGTTTTAATAAAAACGTCCGCTGTTGGAAAGTGTCATATTTCCCACTCTAAACTCACACGTTTCGTCCCAGTTCAGATTACCATCGTATGACAGCCCGTCAAAGCTGGTTCAAAACGCAAACATGAGAAATGGCGGGAGTTCCGTGGACTGATAAATCGTATACCTAATACTCATGAAACGTTAGTATGGACTACAGACGCCTTAATATTATCATATATAGTATAATATACTATCATATATATCACACATCTGTGGCAGAGATTGACAACTAATATAGGTAACAATCATTCGGGAATAATAATAATGTACTGACATCGTTATTCTGCATTTATATCGGATCTGTCAGTTCGTTCAATTTCGCCTGCGTGAAAACGTCAAGAACAGCAACGAACCAGGGTGACGATTTTTTATTTTTTCGATTTTTTCGATTTTTCGATTTTTTATTTAACTGCAATCAGAATCTCTCTCTTTATAACCCCTATGTACTGAGTTTCCACTTTTCACAAGTCACAATAAAGTAGGTACTAAGGTATTAAGTCAGAACATTAATTAGGCCTATAGATAATAGTATAGCCAACTACATGTACATCACAGAATGTGAGCAAATGATATACGTTGTTGAGTGTTGTTCTGAGCACAGCATCACAGCAGAGAGGATGCGATGTAACCATCAAAGCCATTATCAATGTCACGTGACTAGCATTACGACAAGCGAACAGTGGTTGCCGGTTTGTTGGTGACTTGCGGTTTTGTGTGTTATTTCATTAGAAAACGTGTTGCACGTGTATCTGTACAGTTTTCTAACGTAAATCAGCGATGGTTGACAGACTTTTGCGTTTAGGTGGTGCTATGCCTGGTGTAGGACAGGTAAGACGTTGTGGCTTTATGATTTTGTTACTAGTACTACAATCTACGAACGAGTCATTGCTCAGTCTCGTAGTCGTAGGCCTAGGCGATAGTATTACTATTGTGTGTGTGTGTGTGATGTGTTTGTGTGTGGTGTGTGCTGTGCGTGTGTGCGCCGCATGTGTAGTGTGTGTCGTGTGTGTGGTGTGTTTGTGTGTGTGATTGTGATGTGTGTGATGTGATTGTGTGTGCGTGCGTGCGTGCCGCTGCTGCCGCGCGTGTGTGTTGTGGTGTGTGTGTGTGTGTGTGTAGTGGATGTGGAGGTGTGCACCTGATGTGTGGTGGTCTGTGTATGTGTGGTGTGGTGCGTGTCTCTCTCCCTCTCGCTTCCCCTCTTCTCCGGCCCTCGTGCCTCCCTCTCGCTCACTGCGTAAGGGTCTCTCTGATCATTTTATCTCTAAATCTCCTGTCTCTCGCGATCCTCGCTGCCTCCCTTTTTCCTCTTCACGCATACGTCTCTCTTTCTCTTCTCTTCTCTCTTTCTCTCTCTCTAGCCCTATCTCTTTCTTTCTCTCGCCCATCTCTCCTCTCTCTCTCTTCGCTTCTCTCTTCATATCTCATCTTTCTCTCTCTCTCTCTAGCTATCTGCTCTCGCTCTCTCTAGCATCTCTATCTATCTAGCTCCATATTCTATCTACTATCTCTCTATCTCTTTTTTAGCTATCTCTCATTCTCTCTATCTATCTCTCTCTCTCTCTATCTCTCTCTTTCAGCTAATCTCTATTTCGCTTTATCTATCTCTCTCTCTCTCTCTATCGCCTCTCTTTCTCCCGCTAGTTAAGCTC